TGTGTGTGTGTGTGTGTGTGTGTGTGTGTGTGTGTGTGTGTGTGTGTTTAACTTGGAGGTTTTCAGGGTCTCTAGCCCCTGGGACAGTGACTGTTCGTTCTCACTGGGGTTGATTGTGCCTTTTCAGTGCTATTGTATAGGACTGTGCCTTTACCCTATGGGGCTCAGGTCAGTTGAAAGGGACCAGTCTAATCCTAGTTGGGGAAGGCACTCTCATACTCCGTCCTAAGCCGCCCACCCATATGCACTGCCACTGCCGCCCACCCTGAACTGGGAGGGAACATCCGGCCCCAGATACTGCAGGCTCCCACAGAAGGGACAGAAGGTCACGGAACAGGAGCCCCATTGTGGATTCCAGGCCTGCAGCATTTGGGGTGGAGGCTGGTGCTGACCTGGATGGAGGGAGATGGGCCCAAAAGTCCCAGCAGAGGTGGGGCTGATGATGAGGCTCCCAGCAGCCACTTCTATCCTGTATATGCCATCAGCCCTGGTTCCAGCCCTTCCTTCCTTCCTCCCTCTCTTCCTTCCTTCCTTCCTTCCTCCCTTCCTTCCTCCCTACCTTCCTCCCTCCCTCCCTTTTCTATAAATTAAACCCAGGAATTCTCATTATAGGCAGGGATTTACAATTGAGCCATAGTCCAGTCCCTTAGTTGGGAATTCTAACCACTGAGCCACAACCCCAGCCCCTCACTGGGGGATTCTAGGCAGGTGCTCTACCACTGAGCCAAGCACCCAGCCCTCTGTGCTTTTCTTGAGACAGGGTCTCAGTTAAGTTACTCAGATTGGCTTTGAACCCACTCTCCAGCCTAGGCAGGCCTTGAACTCCTGCTTCAGCCTCTCAGTTGCTGGCTGGGATAATGCCTGTGCCCTGCCTATTGCGCTCAGCATGTGCTGTCTGACCCCGAGAGCTAGCTGGGTTTCTCCAGGCCCTGCTGTGGAGGCTGGAGAAGGAGGTCCCATGGCCTGTATAGTGGAGTATTTGCTCTGGACAGAGGTGAAGCTTTTCCTGTCTACATTACATGGGATTGCCAAGGGGTCAGGCAGGGGTTGGGGTTGCCAAGGGGTCAGGGTCAGGTCAGCTCTGAGCCATCATTTGACCTGGCTGCTTTGTTGCAGAAGGAGATCCATCACTCAGTCTCTAACATGCAGTAAATAGCTCAGCCCAGAGCTCCTCTGGGTCAGACTCCAGGCTGCCAGAAGGAAAGTGCCCCCAACTCTGGTAGGGTCTGGAGCTGTGTTCTAGGGAAAGTCCCAGCTGGGCTCCATCAGGTGGCTCATGTGAAGATTTCAGAGAAGGTGGCCAGGCTGGCTTTAATCCTGAAGGAGCAGGTGTCATGGTCGCTCCTCTGGTTGAAGGGCTTGAGGTCTGAGGGGCAGCAAGGCAGAAGATGCCTATCAAGCTGTGGGCCATCACATCTGACATCTCTCTCTTTCCACTGCTATGTGTGGGGAGCCTCAGGCAGGCGGGACAGGGCTCCTTCTGCCTTTGAGACATGGTCCTGACTTCCCTCCTCAGTGGATGTCTGTGGGACACTTGGGGAGCCAGAGCATAATGCCCTCATGGTCAGATTAAAGGATTGTCCTGGGAAGGCCCCAGGTGTCTGGGCCTGTGCTGTGTGGTCTAGCTTCCAGGCCAGTAGAAAGCAGAGAAGAGTGAGGGGCCGTGCGGCCGACCGGCAGGAGAGACTGTGCCCTGTGTCCTCTGAGTCAGCAGTGGCTTTTGTCACAGATGCCACTTTCCTAAGGCTGGAGTAGTCAGGACAAGCCCTCCGTCCCGCAGGGAGCGGCCTGGCGAGGTGGCCCTCTGGGCTGGACCTGAGGGAGCTCTGGAATGCTTGTGGTGCACTGTAGGGCCTTCTGGGACTTTACGGTCTCATTTTCTACGTTCGTGGATGCGGTTTTGAAAATTTAGTATTCGTAACATGTTCTCTGGGGTGGGGGGAATGTAGCTATTTCCTGGCCAGACAGAGGTGGCAGAATGGCTGGAATCCTCGCATTCCCGAGGCAGGTGCTCTCGTAAACCACCGTTTGTTTCCGTCTGATAGCCACAGGCCTGTCTGGGAGGATGGGTACTCCCCAGCCGGAGTGGCTCATCAGCCGCCCCTCACACAGGGGACCCCTAGGCCTGGTGGGCAAGGTGGTACCTGACCTGGAGCCAGGGGCTGGTCAGGCTGGAGGGCTGTAGCTAAAACCAGATCCCTCCTGACACCTGGGTTCTGGGCCTCGTCAGTCCACCTGGTCCTCACTTCAGATGCTGTGGTGACAAGGGCAGAGCACGCCCCTGCTTGTGTCTGCGGCCATGGTCTCTCTCAGGCCCGGGTTTGAGTAGGTAGTCTTGAAGTTTGCTGGATCACCAGCGACTACGGACATCTTTGGAGGTGGGGACTGGCAGGGGTACAGCACCGCCGCCCACAGCTCCCCTTGGGACTGGCTGATGTTTTTCCTTTGGGAAAACTCTCCTTTCCTCCTACCCCAGGGCCTTCAAGGGAGGGACAACGGGTTGCCCTTCTGTTCCCTGAGACAGTGTGAGAGCACATTTCATAACTTAGGGACTGGAGGTTGCCTGCTTCTGGGACATGCTGACTTTTGGAATAGAGTTTGGGACTGATTTTTAGTAAGGAGCCTGTGTGAGTATTGACTCGTGTTGAAGCTGTCTCCTGTAGGGTAGCCCTGTCCCATTTTGGGGTGATTCTTTAATGTTGTGGCTTTTGTTGTTTTTGTTTTGTTTTTGTTTTTGTTTTTTGACACATGGTCTTGCTCTATAGCCAGGCTGCCCTGGAACTCAGTATATAGCTCAGGCTGGACTAGAAGCAATCCTCCTGCCTCAGCCTACCAAGTGCTGGGCTTCCAGGCTTGCCCACCATGCCGGCTTCTTTCATGAGATACCTGGGTGGGTGTGACCACTGTCCTCATTCACAGGTCAGGTTGAAGGTATCTGGACAGCAGAGCCCAACTACCCCTTAGATGGCCCTTGCTCAGGCTAGCCCAACTACACCTCAGATGCCCCTGCCCTGGCTAGCCTAGCACCCCACCAAAGCAAGACCCCTGGGCAGAAGCCTGGCACACAGCTCCATTTTTATAGCTCTCAGGTCAAGACCTTCCTTGCTTTCATTGTCCCTAGTTACTGTCCCTCCTGCTTCCTGACGTAGCGAAACCTCCTGGGCTGGCCCTTGACCCCTGACCCCTGGCCCCACGCCCTACACGTTGAGCTCATACTTGGCAGACTGTGTTCACACCTGAGGCACCCATTCTACTTCACACGCCCGTGGGGCACCTGGCACCCTTTGCACCCATGTTAACCATTAATGGAGCCAAGTTGGTAGCCACAGCAGAGCCTGGCCGAGACTGGTGCTCTGAAGCAGCTGCCTGGCCTGGGTGCATAGCTCACCCCTGCTTGGGTCCTCTTGGCTCCTGAGCTTCAATAGCCTGGGGAGAGCAGTGGAGAATGTTCCCCTACTCCAAACGCCCTCAGTCACTCTGGGTGGGCCAAGCATTGTCCCACCACTGCATACCAAGAGGCTGCCACCTCTAGGTGCCCTGGGCCACCCAGGTTGGGTTCAGCACCGTTACAGCCTCAGTTTCCCTGGTGTATGGTGAGAGGTGAGGTAGAAGTCCCTTGGGGCCGTGCTGGCAGGTGGACACGGCTTCGGCAGCAATTGTATGCTGTTCTGCAGGGCTGGGAGAGTGCCTGTCCTCTGGTACATGTTCCAGGTGGCATCAAGGTTGGCACAAGCCGCCAGCCATGCTCTCCGGGTCACCTCAGGAGAAGCCTTGCTGTGCCCAAGTTTTCTATCCACAGAGGTGACAATCCCGCCTCCTCCCTGCCTGGCCAGGAGGGTTATATGAGTGCTGGTGTCTGGACTCTGTGACAGGAGGCCTGGGGAGTTCTCTATGCAACATCAGGCTGGAGTAGAGCAGGGTACAAGGCCTCCCGGCTGCAGCTCTTGGTGGTGGTGTGGTGTTTGGGGGCGGGGTGTTAAGCAACTGCTGTATGAGCGTGCGGTGGGAGTGGAGTCGCAGTCCTGTGCTGGGAGCTGTGTACAGCGAGCGCATCCATGTCTGTGTGGTGGAGTTGCACACTATGAATGTGACAGCCTGGAGGGCCCAGCATCCGAGCAGGAATACTATGGAAGGCTTTGCCTGGGAGTCTAGAGTCCAGGACCACCTGATGTATTGCCTATCTCTCAGAGACTGTGGGTTGGGAGGGAAATGACCTTCTGAGTGAGTCCCCTCCCTCGGCAAGCTTTGTAGCCACACTGCCGTCTCTAGCCGAGGCTCTGTTTTCTTCACTGAGGCCGCACCCACCAGAGTGGTGCTATGCTCTGCCATCCTGTGCCCAGCAGCCCCACCCCCCTTTCTTTGATGACACCCTTTAGGTCTTTTGGGCACTTATGGGCCTCGTGTATATCAAGCTGGCCTCAGCACTCTGTTGCCAAAGATGAGCTTAGTTTCCATTCCTCCTGGGTCCTGGGATTGCAGGCTTGTGCCGCCACATTCAGTTTACACATCGTTGGGGGTAGAGCTCAGATTTGTGGATGCTAAGGCAAGCGCTCTGCCAGCTGAGCTGCAGACCTTGCTGCGTATCCCAGGCTGGTCCTGAGCTTATGAGTGCTGGCGTGGCAGCTGTAGGCTCAGCATCGACGAGGGTTCATTTCCAATGGAAGCAGGCCTGAGCTCAAGGGATGACGCCTCAGGAAGGGTTTGGGGTGAGCGAGGTATGCCCCCCTCGGGCACACAGTATTGACACTGGCTTTGTTCCCTTGGCAGGTGGCCAAAGTGGAGTATGTCAGGAAGAAGCCAAAATTGAAAGAGGTCCAGGTGAGGTTAGAGGAACACCTGGAGTGTGCATGCGCGACCTCCAACCTGAACCCGGACCATCGGGAGGAAGAGACGGGTGAGTGGCCTGTACTGGTTATTTGCTCTCCGGGGTCCTGAGGGAACTGGGGCGCTGGGCTTAGCCAAGTTAGTCACAGAGTGATGGGAAAAGTTGCAGGCCTGGAACTCCCAGCTGTCCCCACTGGCCTGCAGATCTAGAATCAGGTTAGCTGTGTCTTCCGGGGACCACATTCGGATGGGACAGTAGACGCTGGATTGAGGCTGTGCCCTGCTGTCTGGGGTCTCGACCTTCATCCCACCAGCATGCCTGAGCCTTACCAGCCGTCAGGCAGTCCAGGTGCAGAGAAAGACCCGGAAGTGTCTGCACCAGCGTGGATCGGGCTTTCTTTCTGAAAGATAACCACCTCCAGTATTTATTGCTGTGGCTTCCCTCCCTACGTCCTCCGGAGGCCACTTACCTTCCCTGCCCTTTCCTTGACAGGAAGGCGTAGGGAATCAGGTAAAAAGCGGAAAAGAAAAAGGTTAAAACCCACCTAAGGCGGCCAACCAGGTAGGCCCTGCCCGCCGGGTGCGCTGGGGGACTCCCTCGCAGGGCTGGGACACAATCAGATCAGTGAAATCAGCTTCCGTGGGCCCTGATTGGCTCGGGGCTCTGTGTGCTTCCGGGGCTGCTGGGCCGGGTCTCCTCGCAACTACAGCTTTGCCGGTCTCTTGGTCATTGATCAGGCACACCCAAGTGCCCCATGGCGGGTAGGGTTGGGGGCTCTGCTGGAGTTATGGGGTGAGGGGCTACCCACTGCGCTGACAGATGAAAGCACCAAGGCTTTTCCAGATGACAGGAGGCTCCATGGATCTGAAGAGCTTTAAGCAGGCAGGGCAGTTGGCTTCTGTAACCAGGAGCAACATGAGGAAAGGAGGTGGAGGTTAACAGTCTGTGTAAAACCAGGAGGGGTGGCCGCAACAGGTGTCATTGGCCCTTTCTATTTGGTCCTGTGGATTCTGTGTTCAGAATGACCCTCAGGACCCACAGTGGCTGCTAACACAATCTAAGCTGGAAGAGTCATGTCGGGTAAAGAAGGGCTGGCTGGAGGGCCTCTTAGGAATGCTTGTTCCAAACCCACCCAGTGACGCCTGTTTTTCCCCGGAAGTGTAGGGAATGTAGGTGAGGTATGTCATTTTTCAGACCTGTCCTGAGTGGCGGCTTGTCTGGCCCAGAGGGCTGGAGCCTGTCTGGCTGAGCCCTCCCTCCTGGCACACGGGACTTAGGGGCATCCAAGACAAACAGTTATTCTGGGCAAGAGAGTCCTCAGAGATAGGGTGTCTGAGAGTCCTGGCACCCACTGGACTGTGGCTGGGGATGCCTGTCTTGGGCATGTGGCTCCGATGGGCCTGCTGCTGACAGAGACCCCTTCCAAGTGAGAGGCAGGTGTTCCGAGGCTGCCTGTGTCCAGCTGGCAGCCTGTCTCCAGGCTGGGAGTGAAGGCCTTGTTGGTTCTTTATGGAACTGGGGTGTAAAAGTTTGTGATAGCTGGTGTCTACTCATCAGCACCAAAAAAAATAAAATCATAGATCTGCTTAGTCATGGAGACCCACACACAGGGTGGCTAGTGGCATCTATTCTACCTGTTACTTCGTGGCCCAAATTGTCTGCCAACCTCTGATAAGCACAAGCCATAGGCCAGAAGAAAGGAAGATAGAGAAAAGGGCAAAAGGAACTTTCTATGCCTCAGTTTCTGCATCTTTGCAATGGGAGCATGGGTTCTTCTGTGAAATGCAACCAGCCTAGTCCTCATTCTTAAATTGGGAAAATTTGATTGAACTGGAAATTTTGATTTTGTTTTCTCAATTACACATCAAGTTCTTTTCTTAAGACATAAGTTGTGTGGGGCTAAGCCGCCCTGGTGTTTTTTGCTGGTGATCATAGCCTCAACTCTTACTGTCTTCCCACAGATGTGAGGTGAGATGAGCCGGCGCCCTCTCCCGGGACACGGATGTTCGTGGCGTGTGACATTCCTGAACATACTATGTATGGTGCTTCATTGCCAATGTGCGTGCGGTCTTTGTTCTCCTCCGTGAAAAACTGTGTCCGAGGACAAAGAGACAGTGACCGTTTGTTCAGTGTGACATCAAAGCAAGTACTGTAGCACTCGGAGAGACAGTGAGAAAGCTTCCTTGTCACAGAGAGCGAAAACAAAACCACAAAAAAGAAAAAAAAAATTAAAAAAAAAAACCAACAACAAAAAACCCCCACCACAAGAAACGAAAAAGACTGAGGAGGGCAGCGGAAGGGCTGCTCTGCGGGACTGAAGCTGTCGCCACCGCCCTGGACTCTGCCCATGGGCACAGGTGCTTTCGCTGAGGACACCCGGGGCCAGGGAGGCTGCCTGCTGGCTCCGAGAGGTACAGGAAGCTGAGCAATGGGAGATGTCCGTGGGCCTGTCCGCCACCTTGCTTGAGTCTGCCTGAGACTGATGGCCTTACGTGGAATTCCTCTTTCCTTGTTTTTTTTTTTTTTTTTTTTTTTTTTTTTTTTTTTTTTTTTTACATCATAAAGTGATTAAGCTTCTTTTTATTCTTGCCTAGTTTGTTTTTTTTTCTTTTCGTTTTTTTGTTTTTTTTTTTTTTTAATCTGTTAGATGACATTTTTTGTCGATAACACGCACGAGGCTGCTGAAAGTTGGGACAGCGAGACGGTTATTTTTTCCTAGCCAAACTAATGAGGTGTATTAAAATAAACATGGTATACCTACCTGTACATTTCTGACGCGCCTCTGGCTTCCTGTGTTTCTCAGCCCCTTAACGTTATCTTCTGGCTTGAGTCATGCGAGAGAACTAGGTGGGAGTCATTTCAGTTCTGCGCCCTCCCCCACGGCCGTCCCCCTCCCCATTGCTAAACAGCTTCTATGGCAGTGTGGGGACTCAACTGAGATTACTCTTTAGTAAGTGGTTGGGTTGCACTGTTAAACAGAATTGTGTGCACGTGGTTTCCTTGTTTTGTTTTGTTTTGTTTTTGTAAAGGTGAACTTTGTATTTTTAATATTATCAGTTTATATACCTGAGAGCCTGCTATATATTTTTTTTTTTTTAATTTTGAACTAAAAGGAGAAAAAAAAAAAAACAACAAACTTACTGCATATCACATGCATGCTGTGGTCCTGTTTTTCTAGTTGCTTCTTGATTTGAGGGTGTGAAAACCTGGGCATCAGAGAATCAGGGTTGGAGAAGTGACAGGCTCTCTGGCCTAAGTTCCTTAGTGGAATGGACCAGAGCAGAGGGGACCTTCCTACCTGCAAGCCTGAGCACCCTCTACAGAGCCAGATGTGCGCCAGCCAGCTGGGAGCTTGGACTCAGTCACTGGGCGGTCAGATGGGCACCCTGGAGCCTGTGGCTCAGTGGCCATCAGATGTCCCTGTTGCTCATGGCCAGTGCGTCCCCCTGGGAGGTGTGAGGAATGTGTCAGCTCTCCCTTCCAGTGCTTCAGATGGACACTACCCAGGTGACCAGCACATCTCAGGGGCTGGAGGATTGTGCTGCAGGCCAGGCCTTCAGCACTCCAGGCTGATCTGTGGGGAGTCGTGCCACAGCCCAGTGTTGGGGCTCTTAAATCGGGAGTCAGAAGCCTGGTGCTCATGGGAAATCCCATAGGCTGTGAAGCCTAGAAGCCCTTAATGGCAGCAACTGGCCTGTGGGCCTGTTTCGTGGTATTTATTCAATCCTGCAGACAAGGGCCCTGGATCTGCACCCCACCCCCACCCCCCACCCCCACCCAGGTGACCTGTGCTGCCTTGGAGGGGTGAGTGGCGTGCCTTGTCCCATGCTGGCCTTGATGGGGCACCTGGCTGTTGCCTGCCTCTCCCTAAGCCCCATCAGTGTGTGGGCTGAGCGTCAGGGCTCTCCTGTGAATTGCTCAGCTTTTGGGTTTCCTGCTGTTAACTTGCATCATCCAGCTGCCTTGATGGTTCCTGTGATCTTGAACGTTGATGGGTCTTCCTGTGACCTTGAGATTTCCTCCAGTGACCTTAGCTCTCTTCCTGTGAACCCAGTGACTAGATTTCGTTCCATTAACTTGATGTGTCCCCAGTGACCTTGATAATTCCATGACGTTGAGGTCTCTTCCAGAACTGTGACCTTGGGTGATCTGTACTGTAACCTTGAGCTTTGGGTTATGACTGATTGCTTCCTGTGTAGACATGACTTTTATATTTCTGTGACTTTGAACCCTTCCTCCCACAAACCTGTGACCTCGAGTATTCTTTTTGAAGTCCATGACCTTGAACCTTCAGGATCTTCCTTTGACCTTAAAATTTCCTCTTGTGGGCTTGAGGTTTCTTCAAGGTCTATGACCTTAAACACTCCAAGACCTTTCCCCCTGTGCTGTGTGGTCTTGGTATTTTTTCCTGAGTTGTGACCTTGAGGTTTTCTATGAGCCTATGACCTTGAGTTTTGTGCCATGACCTTTAGGTTTCTTTTCTATGAGCCCTGTGGCCTGTCTCTGCCCCCACTGTGTTATAAGGCAGAGTTGTTGGCAGACGTGGTGTTCCAGATGGGTTCTCTTGTCTTCTGTGGCTTTGGGATGTGTCACATCTGTCCCCATCAGCTGGCACAGAGCTCCTCCATAGAGACAGGCTCCTACACTGGAGTCCCCACATTTCCTTGTTTCTGAAGCTTGTTTGTGACACTCGCTCTTCCCCTTGCTGGAATCCTCTTTGTGTCTCTTCTCCCTGGTCCTCTGGTCTGTGGGTGGGCTGGACTGTGGTGACAGGAGTAGCCTTTAGCTGACCAGACCCAGCTCTTACAGCAACAGGTTCAGCTGGACCACATCGTGGGTTCTCTAGAGCGGTCCCATAGTTAAAGACTGTTTGGAGGGCCATATTCAATAAAGGTATTAGGCCTTCATCTTCACTGTCATTGGCTCCAAAAGTGCCCTGCCACCCTTGTTCTTGTCTGCATGTTTTTCTGGGAATTCTGGGGATGAGAACTTGGCTTTGGTTGAGAGTTGCTGTTTTAAGGATTGGAGCTATACCCCGAACCCTCTAGGAGACTTCCTATACGGACATCGTGAGGACACAATTCTAGGGGCAGCAAAGGGGAATAAGCCTTGCTTCCTCTCCTGTTCAGTGTGCTCTCTGGGGGCTGTGGCTCCTGTGAGGATTTGTTGGACCATGTAGCTTCAGTATAGGGCCCTGGACCCTAGGGTCCAGCCAGAGTCACTTCACATGGGGCAATGCTTCAATTTCCTGGGGCCAGGGAGGCAGAGGCTCCCGGCAAGCAGCCTCAGCTTATTCCCCTTTGCTGCCCCTAGAATTCCCAGAAAAACATGCTCTAGAGAACCCACGATGTGGTCCAGCTGAACCTGTTGCTGTAAGAGCTGGGTCTGGTCAGCTAAAGGCTACTCCTCCCCAACCTTCCAGAGAGCTGTACCTTTGGGTCTCCATAATAGGTTTCAGCACCCAAGCTGTATGTCTAACTAGGAGCCATGTTGTGATATTTTGTTTTTGGCTCTGATTATAAAATTAAAAATAGTTTTATTCTCTCAGAAGAATGTTGGGTTCAACAAAAATCTAGATAGGTACATAAAGGCAAGCTTCAGGAGGTTGTGGGCGTGACCAGTCTCATTCCCACTGGGTGCATGGCTGTGACCTCAGGCTAGGTAGGGTCTTCTCCAGCAGGTCAGTGTCCTCGGGAATGAGAAGAAGGTGGTCCTTTCATACACCAACGTAGAAGCCATGGGGCTGAAAGGACCTAGGAGGGACCCAGTTGCATGAGGAGTTACGTTCCCAGCAGCAGCATCCTTTGACTGGCTAGAACTTTTTCCCCATCACCATAATCATAAATGATGGTGCCTTCAACATGGCTGCCAAGACTTCATGAGCCTATGGGAAGCTTGGAGAGGAAACGTGCTGTTAGAGCCCCCTACCCTGGCTGCTCAAGACTCACATGGACCCATTCCAGGCTTCTATGCTTGGTTGGCACCATGGCCACTGTGGGTTCATTGTGGCTTTCTGGGCTATGGATTCCTGGAGGACACGAAGACATGCTGAGAGGGTAGAGTAAGGGCTACCGCAGTGTCTGTTTCTGCCCTGAGCTGGAGCTGCCTCTGCTCCCACTGACAGCCTCCCTCTAGCCTCGTGGCTACCCCACAGCACCGTGCCTCTGAGATGGGTATTCCCACCTGGCTCCAGACTCCCTGCGTTCAGACCTTTCTCCACAGACTGCTTTGAGCTTGGGTTATGCCTAAGAATAGTAAGCCTTCAGGGGGTGGCCGTGTCTCTACAGAGGGGTGTACACCTTGCGGTGTTCTCCCAATCTTTCCCAGTTGTCATAGAGGCCAAAGAGAAAGTAGGTCACTTGTGTGCCCCAACTTCTTGCCTATCCATCTAGAGCTCTGGTTTCTGCTGGACACATGGCCCCGCAGTGCCCATACCTGCTTCTCCCCTACCTCTGAACATCCCAGTGCACCCCAGGACGGCTCTAAGGAAGCTGTGGAAAATCAAGGGACCATGAGGGTCCCTGTTCAGAGATGGGAGATGCTTTACAGGCCTCCTGGGGTGCACTGGCCTCCAAAGCACAGGCTAAAGGATGGGTAAGTGGTTCTCACTGGAGAAAGATCCCAGCAAGAGGAAGGAGTTTCAGCCTGGGAAACCCGAGTCAGCTTCTGAGGAGTCTCAGAACTGTCTACCCAAGGGCAAAAAAAGGGTATTTATATACCATTTGGCATGCAGGCTTTGGTGAATTCAGCCTTGTGGTTTCCCTCAGTGTGCTGGTCCAGCTGAGGCAGAAAACTGGGGAAACCCAGTGGCTGGCTCTCTGGCTGTGACAGTGGAGTGGGGAAAGTACCCTGAGGCCCAGGAGCCATCCAGAAGATGATTAACATCGCCTTGAGTGTGTGTGTACTCTGCTGGGCCCTGTATGAGCCTTCAGGCCACACGGCTGACACAGCTGCCCCTTACTTAAAGACTGTAGTCCACCTGTCCCCTCTCCACAAAGCAGCCAGATCACAGACCTTGCCTCTACAGGCCACAGCCCCACTGAGGTTATTGATGGTTCCTCTCAATCAATAACCAGGAACCTCTCCAACTCCATGTTTGCCCCAGCCCTTGTCAACCCTATCAGATGGCTTCTCTTTGGCAGGACAGTCAGTGATAAAGCAGGAATGGGAGCTGATGGCTTGTGGTGCAAGCCAGGCAGATAGGGTCCTTTACAAGACACGCCCACATCATGGACTGACTGGAGCACCCTCCCTCCCTGACTCTTCCCCATTCCACTCACCCACCCATTCCTCTGTGCTTTCCCAGGGATGCTGCTGTGGTTAAGCTTGGCTGTGAGGCTCTGGGCAGATCTAGTCTGAGACAGGGACCAGCCACCTCTAACTTGAAGATCTTAACTTGGGTCAGGGAAGCAGGTATCTGGGAGCCACTGGCTCACCTCCATCTTCAGGACAGGACAAGAGAACTCTGTATAAGCCTGAACTTACTGTGACCTCAGGTGATATCACTGTGACCCGACCTTGAATAAACTTTCTTTCTGACCTCAGGACACCCTATTGTGACCTTAAGCAAACACACTGTGACCTCAGGTGACACTGACTTTGGATGGCTTCACTGTGACTATAGATGACATTGTAACGTTGGGCAGCTTCACTGTTTGATCCTGGCCGCCTCTCTGTGACCTTAGGTGACATCACTGTGAACTTCTGTGAACTCACCTTCTCTTATTTCATTGTGGCTTTGGGCATCTCTTGGATGACCGTGCTGT